GGGAAAGAGAGAGGGGACAAGAGACAGCGAAGGGGAGGGGACAGGGACGGGCATGAATGGGACCCTGGGGCCAGGTAGGAAACGCCCCTCCCCAGGGGGTCCCTTCCCTCCTTGTTATGGAGTTGTCTTCCCCTTTCTCCAGTTGTTGTGCGCGCCGCTCTCCCCTCCTTCTCGTCTATGTGTCTCCCCTCTCATTCATGTCTCTCTCCTCCCCTCCCTCTTTCTTGTCTGTCTCGGCCCACACCCCTTTTGTCCTGCTCCGCTGCTCTGCATTGCTTTTGTGTGCTAATAGCGGACGAATGAAAGTGAGTCGAGGCGGGTCTCCCAAGCGCCCCCCTCCAGCCCGCTCCCACAGAGGCTTGCAGGGCCCTCGGACTGCCAGGCTGGGATCGGCCAAGCTTTTCTCTTTGGCAGCTAAGGACACCGGCAGCCCCCACCTTCCTGGCTCCGGCGGCTCCAGCTTTGGCCATGTGATGCAGGGGAAGCTGGATTTTGGAGGGGGGGTTGTAGCTGGCAGGGGGGTCTCTGCACCCCCTCCATTGCAAGAGCTGCAGCTTCCTTTTACAAGGGCAGGATGGGAACGGAGGCAGTGCATGCTCTTCTGTTGACGCGGGGCATGCACCGTGCTGGGGCTGAAGTGGTCTCTCCGGGGTCTCTTTGCATGGGGTGTTGCTTTCCCCCCTGATGCCCTGCACACAGCCCATAGACGTGGGCTCCTTGCATTTGGCTTCGGATCTGGGCAGAGGTTCAGGAGAAAGGAGCGGAGGTGGCGGCAGAGAGGGCGACTAAAACAGGGGCAGATGGAAAGGGAGATTTCAGACCTCCTAGCACCGCACCAGGGTCTGCTGGGGACAAAGAGCGAGGTGAGGTTCCTCCCCCCATAACCGGAGCTGCGGGAAGGCAGGACGCACTTTCCTACCAACTCACACCTGCTGCCTTGGGCCCCTCTCCGAGGCCTGGCACGGTGGTATTGTCCGAGAGCTGTCCAGGCCAGAGCTTGCTGCATCCGTGCAGCACCTGGCACAGTCGGACACAAGCAAGCGACTACGGCAGGAAGGTGTTCCTACCCCACCATGAGTCCTCTCAGTGACCGATAAATACAGCCTTCGTTCAGGGGCTGCTTTATTCAGTCTCCCCATCTGCCTCTGCCGTCCTGTGTGTGGAGTGGCAGCTGCAGCATGGGGAGAGGCAGTCGTTGGGATGGGACTTGTACAGGAAAGTTAATTAATAATGACATTAGCTCATGGTGGAGCTGTTATATTTTTTAATACATCACCTTTGCATGGTATGGCAACAGAGATTAGCAGGTGCCCAGAGAGAATCAGCAGAGATGGAGGTTTCCCAGTCTTGCCCCCGTGCTTTCTGACAAAGTTGTTGGAAATCAAAAGCCAGGTCTCCTGAGCTTCAGCCCGATGCCTGGCCCACACACCCAGCCTTCTTGTGCTTTCTCTCTCATACTTAACTTATCAGGAGATCCCTCACAATCTTGCATGGAAGTTGGTCAAGCATCCTTGGAAGATGATTACTTTGCCATGAGACTAATGACCTCTGCGTCTTTCTAACCTGAATTAATGGAGGTGCAGCCTCCATTTCCCCTGTGCATGTTCTGCCCGCAGGCCTGTGTGTGTTATTACCAGCTGTGTATTATTGGCCCCTCTCTCCTTGTTCTTCCAGTCCCATCTCTGGCACTGGGATTTGTCCTCTGGCTTTTGGAGATACCCCAGGCTTCTGGGTATCCAACAGGTGGTTTCCCAGACCTTCCTTCCCCCTGCATTTCTTTTACAGACCATCAGCATTCTCCCTTTTTCCGGTAGTATCAGAATGACAAATGCTCCTTTCATTAGGGAGAGCCCCCTGATTGCTCCCAAGAACAAATTTGTGCCCCTGAGCCTGAGAACCACGAAATGTTGGATCAAAATCTTGGGATAGTCTCCTGCACTGCTGGGACCCTGCTGCAAACCAGCAAATAGCTGTTTCTTTCTGGCACCTTGTATCGGGCAAGAGGTAGAGGCCAGGGGGTGACACTAGCTGTTTCTGCCAAAATACAGGGATGAAACAGGCAGCCCAAGAAAAGTAAGGCAGGAAGCATAAACCAGATGGCAAAACTGCTCCTTCGTACAGGTACCAAAGAGTTTCCCTTTCCAAAGGACAGTCAGATCAGTCATAAGATGGTCTGTGCACCCAGCTTCTGGAAGCGCTGATGGGCGCTTTGCTTTTTGTAACCATGCTTGGATTTAAAGGCAGCAAAAATTTGGGCGAGGGGAGTGCCTTTTGTTGCATTTCACATCCCTTTAAACAGCCTGGCTTTGCAAAAGTTCAGCTCGGATGTTGGATGGCACTGGGTTTGCTTCCCATGTAAAAAGACAGTGTCAAGCATGGTAGCAGAGATGGGGGAGAGAAATTCTATTGAAAAAGGAAATACTACATTTATAGTGTGTGTGTGTGTGTGTGTGTGTGTGTGATAGGAAACACCTACTTGTGTCCCTGGCAGACAAGGTTCTTTGGGTAAATCTGATATCTTTTATTAGACCAACTCAAATTTTAATTGATCTAATAAAATATATCAGGTTTACCCAAAGACCCTTGTCTGCCTCTGTCCTTAGACCAACACAGCTACAACCTACACCCCGGTACTTGCGTCCTTTATCATTTCCTTGAGAACAAGAGGAGTGACGAAAGAGGATCCTTGTGTCTGCAATTCATTTGACAGACTTCTCCTCGGGGGCTTGCAAAGCTGTTTTGTTTTAATTACCCTTTGCATTGCATAATTTGAATCCATATTATTTTTTATGGGGATTCATTTATACCTAGGATTTTTTAGCTCAGGAGGAGCTGTTTCCAGGTGTCTGTTGCCAGCAGCCCTTCCACTGAACTGTCCATCTCGGCACCGGTTCTGACCCCGTGGCCGTGCGGTGCGCACAGAGCGGTGAATGACCTGGAGTGCAATCCTGGTCCTTGGGAAGTCGGTGGGACTGTCCCACAAGAAATGCAGATGTCACCGATGATCGCTGCAGCATTCAGTTTTCTGGAGTAAAGTCAGAAATGATTGCTGCCACCTGATAAACCTGTGAAAACTTGCTTCTATAAACCTATTATCGATGTGTGCATATTAAATTATCGTTTTGCAATTAATAAGAGATTTATTAGGTATTACTGCTGCTTTAAATTTGCATTCCTTCTCTGAGCTCAGGCTTCAGCAGTAAGGGTGATGTAAATCGGCAGGAGTCTTTACCTGACATCCCCAGGTTAGTAAACTGCGGTTCCCTCCCTGGGGCCTTGCAATGGAGTGGTTACAGCCTCTTGCTATTGCTCCAGAGGTGCGAGTTCAAGCCAAATGCTGACCCCCTCCATAGGCTGATCTTGCAGGCTGGAGAGCCAGAGGAAGCTGGACATGATGCCCTTGTGTGTATGTGTCGTTGGCTACAGAAACTGGTGAGCTTTGACCACTTTAGCTCAATGATTCATGCTATGCATATTAGGTTTTTAGGAATATGGCAGGAGATAGGATTTGAACAGGCTCCCGTCAAAAGATCTGAATTTCCTAAAATCTGGAGCAGGGGGGAAACGGCG